TAATCATGAAAATGAACAAGAAGCAACAAAATGCTTGGAAGAATCGACAGAAAAAGCATACAAGACGATAAAATATGGTGGAAAGGTGTTTTGAAGGAAGGTAGGTAAAATATAGTGCACCGTATGTCAACAAAATAATGTCAATTGCTTTCGAAGAATTCATTATTAAAGTGAGTTAAATCTTCTTTTTTGTCTCATGTGTTTTTTTCTTTGGAAATATGAAAATTCAATCTCTGCTAAAAATATTTGTTAATTTATGCAAAATTAACATTTGTCCAGAGATGGTGCATGGTAATTTTCTTAGTAAATAATGAACTTAAGCAAATTTTTTCCTCAAATGACCATGCACCCCTAAAATTGAACGTTTTAGACCCAATAATCGCCTTAGAAAGGTTATTTCATTTTGCTTTCGAAAGCTAGAGACATATCGACACTGCCATTTTAGGGGTCTCGATTTCTGGACTTTTGTCTAGGATTGAGAAAATGGCACATACGCCATGTTGTTCGTTATAGTCATTTTACCTAAGAACAATTGAAATTACTTCGGGTAAATGAAGTGCGTACAAACTCTTATAAAGGTCCTCGACTAGTATGCAAACGACATTAAAGAAAGTACAAGTATTATTTGAATAACATATTATTTTCAATTTAACATGCGAGGTGTTTTTTAATCTAGCGTTTGGTTACAGTATAGAGAACGTACAGTAGAGCCACTCCATTGAATTTTTTAGTGCCACGCATATCTTATTACGCATGTGATTACCATATTGGCAGCCGGTAAATTGCATTTTGTGACCAACAGGATTGACGATATGGCAAACGGCAGCCAGTTCCATAGAGAAGTGGCCCTACTGTATATTCCTATACTGTGGTTTGGTTCTCATGTATAGTTGCTTGCAACCAATGCTCAATCTGGCACAAATAAACAGTTCGTTTTAATTACTCCTCAGGGTTTTCTCTGGGTGTGTAGATAAATGTGACTACATTAAAGGAGACTGCTCCACACTTTCAACTGTAACATTACCTATGATCATCCCTGCCGCATTGTTCAAAAAACGCAATTACGATATTCTCGATTGAACCTCAAACAATGGAGTTCATAGCTATGTGAAATTATTTATATTCAAATGCAGGTTTCTAATTTCACATATGAATTTTTTGAAGTGGCTCATCATCGCCAGTACAAGTACGATACATTTAGTGCTCCTAACATGAAGTTGTAAGAAAAAATGCTAACATCAAGACAATTAAGCATCTTCAAAAAACATTAACTTTTGTGAACTCAATTCCTCTCTAAACAGTTACGTAATTTCTCGGTTTTTAAGAGGACCCATATAGCACACATGATTATACTTGTGATCCCACTCTAACCTATAAACGGAAAATTTTTTATTTGTAAACAACAATTTTTAGGTAACCATATAACCATGGTAACATGATGTGCCAGAAATGATGCAAAAGATCAAGAAAATTGTTTGAGAGAAAACATTTGTAAATCCTAGTGCCCGGATTTTCACTCATGCTTTAAAAATTTAATCGCCAAACTATTATACTTGTATCTTCGGTAATTTATTGCCACTCATTCTTCTCCATTGAATGGACACAAAATATTTACCTAATAATTATTTTTCAACGTATCCAACGAATTATGCACAAAAATCACAACATTTGCAAAGTAGCACTGTTCAACTCTTAGTGTGGTGGAACAGCGATTGACATACGTTAAAGATCTAATGGTTGTAAAATTTGCAAAAGATCTAATGGTTGTAAAATTTGCAAAAGATCTAATGCTTGTTAATTTTGTTTCATTTCTTGCTGTCATAATTAGTATGATGTACTCCAGACAAACCACGATATCTTTAATGAAGGATATATGTTTCAACGAACTCTTACCATAATTTGTACATTGTGAGGAAGTTTAACATTTTTAAGTAAATATCTGTAGTCATTATGAGTTTATGGGTGACATGGTCTCTACTATGAGTAATCAACTTTGTAGAGGACTTTGCATTAAGGATTGACTCCAAGTTGTTAATGAACCAATTTCGAATTTAAGCTCATCACTTATAAATCATTATTAATTTTCCAGCATCATTCTAGTATCTGACAAACGCAGCCAAATTAGCGCTAATCTGACATAATTGTTATCTTAATTCATATTTTTAATTATAAAATTTATGCGAACAACTTACATTCTTAACTTCAAAACCTGTTTATATTAGATGTTAGTACTTTGTTTTCCACGCAATTTTGAATAAACTTTCATTTGAATATTGACTCTTAAGTACTTTGTGTATTATTTATACTTATGTAAGATCATTCTGATATAATTTTAACCAGTCATAAGTTCATTTATGCTGAGGTCTTATGAAATTTTTAATTAATCTATCACACAGCTTATTACATTTCTTCGAAGTAATTTCAATAATAATGTGTTACATTTCATAACTAAAAGCCATCCTTTGTGGTTAGAAATAGATCCATTCTAACAGTATATCACGATCAATGTTCACTATGGGGAAAGTGTACTGGGGTAAATGTCCCAGTAGTTATATAGTTCTATAGTTCAAAATGGCCTGAAAGAAGCAGAACTTTGTATACCAGAGTTTGTTTACTCCTAATTATTTGCTTTTTTTTACGATTTTACTGGCAGTTTTATGAAAACTTCCTTGTCGAATACCCTTTGCACTTTTACATAATGACTAATTTTACATAAATATCGACAATACAATACTTAATCAAACATACAACACAAAGTAGCTAACGAAAAATCTAGGCTAAAACGTACATTCTCAATTCTCAATGGTGATTTGTGAAAGAGCGCAATTTTGGACAAAAACTTCCAGGAGCTTGCACTTGCTTATTTTTTTATAAATGCATCAAGCAACATAAAATTCCAAATACTAAAAACACTATTATCTTTAAATATTTGAAAACTGTAACTTTGTCTGAGTTTCATGTTTGTAAATGATTATCGTCCAGGTTAATAAAGTCCTGAGAAGGACTGTTTTTGTTGTTGTTGACTGGCGTTTCGACAACCTTAGCGGTAGTCATCTTCAGGGTCAAATGAGGAGTAAACGCCAGGTTAGCCGTATTTGTTATCTGGTTGTTACGTCATTGTATTGTGTGTACGGGAAATGTATATTGTCATAGTGAATTAGTGTGAAGTTAAATATTTTATTTTTAGTTGTGATGTGTGATTTAGGTGAATTGTTTTAGTTGTAATGTGTGGGTGTCAGTGTAGTGTGAAGTGTAATGTTTTAGTTGATCGTTTGTTTGTATTGTGAATAAGTCGTTTGAAAGGTGCCGGTAATTGCTGTGATCTGTTCAGGTGGGTTTGTTCCAAGTTGGTATACCAACTTTTTAATGTAAGCCGTTGTCTATAGTCAGTGCTGTAAGTAATGCATTTTGCCGAGTCCCAGTCAATGTTGTGCTTTGTGATTAGGTGATGTTCGTCAATGTGATTAGTTTTGTCTTGTTTCTTAGTAGCTCGTTTGTGTTGAGTAAGTCTTATGTTTAAGTTCCTGGCAGTTTCCCCTGATATAGGAGGCGTGGCAGTCGGAGCAGTCGAAAGACATTTTGATGAACAATAGTAAGTTGAAAACGGTATCATCAAACTCTACGAGATGTACATCATCAAAATATGCGAATTAAAGTACCTCTGTTGTCATTAAGCGAAGCAAAGTTTTCAATCAGTTCCTATGTGAACAACTTCAATATCGATAAATATGTTTAGGATATATTTATTTGATTGTTAGGGTTAGCAGCAAATGATCGATTTTCCGGCTTCAATTTTTGCAAGAGATGCGTTACCACTCTAATATACATATCAGTGAGTATTACGATTTTTCCCTGCAATTTTATAAGGGTAGGGGTAAAACGCGGAAATGGAATGGCTAAGAGAAAGCCGGAAGAGGAATGGCGAAGCGGAATAGGGGGTAAAACGCGGAGTAGAGAGTTATAAAATGCTGTATATGGTTAAATAATTATTTGCCACCATAAACATATGAATTGTTCAGTTTTAGATAATGAGCGCATGTGAAAGTTAAAAAAATTGAAAATTCACTCCGTGCGTATGTGCAAATTTACATGATCTCAAATGACAGCAAATACTCACACAATAAACGCATCAAATATATGAGCAGGAAATACAATTAATTATTTTCAGATACTTGCAATGTGTTAAGTGTTTTTCTTCAAAAAATGAAACATTGTTTGCAGGACACAAAATACTTGGAATGTATATTCTTTTGAAGAAGTTACTGCAAAATGTAACAACAAATATCAAAACCGGTTGTATATTATTTTAACCAGTACAAGTTACGTAAGTGTGTTAATTTATTTAAATGGACGACATTTCATTCACTTTATCAACTGTTTTAAAAAATAAGTTTTTGCCAATTTTTCATGTAAATAAAACACACTTATTCACAAGTTGGATCTCTCTTTTCTTACCATTGAAAACATCGCACTTCCATTAAACACTTTATTGGTTATTATCAAACCAACTTTGTTATTATAATGAAGTTGATGCTAAGTTCACCGCGAAAGTCTTTGTGCATATAATTATGCAAGCCTGAATATGTTCTTTAAGACAACAGGAGGTTAGAACATGCATTTTCTCTGTTGTAAACACAAAAATCTGTCACTAGCGTTGTGAGAATCCATTATTCGGGTAATGTGTTTATTAGTATACGTCGAAAAAATAAATACTACATTCAACGTTAATTACAATATCTACTCGGATGTAACGAAGACCAGATTAAAGAGATTTTCCTGTTGTAAAATTCGGTCCCATACGTTTAAAAATAAAACACTTTGTTGCTGGGGAAAAGCAACTTTCAAATCGTGGGAAAGTGCAAGTCATACTTAAAATCTATACTAATGTATATTTATAACTATTTACCATATACAGCATTTATTACTCTCTATTCCGCTTCCGCCATTCCGCCATTCTGTTTCCGCGTTTACCCCTACCCAATTTTACGACGGAAACTCTCTTTTGTTGAGAAATTCTTGTTTAAGAACTGACACCACAATCATTTGTCCGTTTGTCAAATGTACTAGGCAAATATACAGGACGAATAAAACGAAGAACTTTACCTATCTTTATAAATTCAATGCTCTGTCAGCAACCTTTGCCCACGACAGGATAAAACTTCGTCATCTAAATGCATTTATTACATATCTTTGTTATAAGCTTTGTTTGCCTTGGAATTTGACCTCTAAAACCAAAATATAAAAATAATGTAACTGTAAAATTAGCTAAGTGATCAGGAATTGAAATTTTAACAACAGGATGGTTTCTAAAGGTTTCTTTGTACACCAAATAGTTCTGAAACAAATATCAAATTACATCTCCTCTTGGAGCAATGCCTGTAAAGTTTTACCAGTATTATGGTTTTGTAAGTGGAAAATGTAACACTTATACATTGTAGATTTATATATACACGACAAAGGTAGTCATAAAATGTTTTACATCACGTCACATGAGTAAAAAATATGAAAAACTTCGTTTATCACTCTTAATATACTTATATGGTCTACAGAAAAGCTGCATCGATTGATTTTTTTTTAGATCTGATATTTCTCGGCTCTTGTTATTATAATTTCATGAAAGTTTATTACCAACTTCTCAAGTTCTCAAATTTTGTCCTATAAATAATCATTTGCTAAGGTTTACCAGCTTTTCCACTATAACGCATGCATTAAAAACACGTGTCTTTTTGCCCCCCGCATAATCTTTTAAAGTTTAAACAACTGTATATATGCCCCAGACAATACAATGGAGCTCAGCTTTTGGTCAGACAGAATTTGGTGAAATTAAGGTTCAGGAATTTATCTAATATTACAATCACATGTTGGAATGCAGAAACTTGTTCCACCCTAATATGTTAAGGAAAAAGCCCTGTGTCTATCTTTCCCGGATGAAATACTCAGCTCATAATCCATCATAGTATTTAAATTTACAGCTTAATTCTTTATTTTCATTCTTAACAAATTAATCCTTATGGCCTGCTAGGATGAATAGAATAATATTTGGAATCTTAACAACTAAATTTTAAAATTTTGCACTAATGAACTCTACAATCTAGCTAGTTTTAAAAGTCATGTTTTTGTTACAATAGAGACAGTGTTTTTCTTTGACAATTTTACAAAAAAACACATTCGAGGTCAGTGGCGGATCTAGGGTTGGTCAAAATGAATTATTGTCGCACATTTTGGAATATATTTAAATTTCTTAGCCCCTCAGAGAAAAGTCCATTGGTGCAATTATATTCTTTAGAAATTCAAAACCAATAGTGCTTTTCTGAAAGTACTTTGAATTTAAAATTACGCAGCTTTACTATATTTTGCTCGCTGCTGCTGTGACTACCCTAGATCCGTTACTGGTCGAGGTGTCTTAAACAGGTTTGAATGAAATACTTATAGTTTTGGTCAAAACAATTTTAGGTCCGTTTGGAAACATAAACTTCAATGCAATGTTTTGTCGAACGATGGGCGGGTCAAGTGCAGTTTTAAAAATACATGTAAATCGTCAAAGTGCAAATTTTTGTTTCATTAACCAGAAACACTTAAAAAATGTTAATCAACAATCGACGCACAATATAGGTAAAATTACTAAAACAAGCGTAAAATGAGTGGAGCTAGCACAGTTGATTTCAAATTTCCTAGATTTCTTCTATCTTTGTTTAAAATTGCCCGAATCTTTTCCAACTTCCGCCAAAAACTGCCCGACCTTCAATTTCTTAAAAAATTATGGAGATTGTGCAGTTCACACTAAAATGAGATCATTTCTTTATGCCAGCATGTAGCAATAGCATTTTTCTAAATTTAGATGCTTTAATGAATCATTTACTCCAAAGACTAAATAAGTAGTTTCGTCGCCTCGTTCATGAGAGCTCCGTACCAAAAGCTATGTGAAAGTGTTATGTTTGTTTTCTTTTCTACAAAATATTGTGACTGTACCTTTTGCTCTTGTTTCACATTCATTGTCAGTTTTTTCACTTGAAGGACGAGGGCTGTTCTCTTTTTTTACTACTTCTAGGTCTGACAACCATCGAAATTGCGATTTCTTTGGTTCTGGTTTAAAGTCAAAGTAAGGAGAAGCTTTCCATCCAAAACTTTCGTCAATTTCTTTTCTTAAGGCATCTTCATCATTTTGTCTTTCAGCTGCCACAGTCACATACAAAGATAGATAGGGTCTCCATCGTACACCATATCCACCACAAATCCAAGAAAAACTAAATAATGTTATTCAATATAGTTAGTTATATAATAACGTTAAAATTTAAGCAATTTCATTGGTCAAAAAGACAGAGCAGTAAGCAGACCCGTGAACTCAATATTTAGATAACTGGAATGATACCTGAAGCCAAAAATTGAAACCAGAAAAAAATCTTTGTCGTCATCACTCGTCAGGCCTCTGGCCTTCATAATCATTTGTATTTTTTTGCATCTTGGGGCATCCACAGACTGGGTATTTTGTCGTCGACAACTTTTCGACTACATTTAATTGTCGACCACGAAAAGCCTTACTACTGCAAGTATTAGGTATTCTTCGCACATTTTTCTTCCGTTCGTTCGTTAAATCAAAGTTACAAAAAACTTTAATTTTAAAATTATCTTTCATGTTCATTAACCAAAAGCATGCGTGCGCATCTTAAAATTTTTATTATTCACTCCCCAAATTAAAAAATGTTCTAAATTGTGACGTCATATCCGAGAAAATTCTTAAACGGATAGACATCAAATCCAGGTGTTTTACACATTGAACTAAAATACATGGAACGCTATCTGTAATACAAAACCCTAATAGTGTGTTTTCAATCAATTATTACTCCGAGAGAATCTCAAAACACTACACGCGTGTCTGGGGTAAAATCTCGCGTGTCTGGTGTAAGATTTGGCTTCAATTATTTGCGTCAGGTAGCGTTCCATGTATTTTAGTTCAATGGTTTTACAGTACATAGGTCGCGTAAAACACTGGCTCTAGTAAAATGGGAGTCAAAATTGTGTGCTGCAAAAGTTTTCTGATGTTATTTTGTCTTCCAAAACAAAACTTAAACGAAATTGATTAGTTATCGCTTGTTCATTCTCACAGCCAATCTCATATTTTAGCACGTGACTTAGGCTAGCCAAAAGCATTTCTTCAATCCTATAGACCAATTTTCCGAAAGTTTGAAAAACAAAAACAACTTGTTTGCCAATTAAATCTTGGGATTTTTTTTTTAAACACAAAAAAAAATAGATAACAATCAACCGAAGTCTGTTCAGCTATAGATACACGGGTATGACGTCATTTGTGATAAGAAAAAAAAGTGGCCACGAACCAGGATAACACGAACACCATGTATTCGATTTAAGTTCAATACAGTTGTATTGAACTAAAGTTGTTGAACTTACGTTGATGACGTTTTGACAACCTTAGCGGTAGTCATCTTTAGGGTCAAATGAGGGGTTAACGTCAGGTTAGCCGTATTTGTTATCTGATTCATGCGTCATCATATTGAGTGCATAGAAAAGGTGTGGGTGTGTCAATTGTGACTTGTCTTCGGGGATTAGTCTAAAGTTATGTGTTAATTGTTCGTTTTTTTGAGGTTGTGAATAAGTCGTTTGTATGGTGCTTGTAATTGTTTTGATATGTTTAGCGGGTTTTGTTGAGAACTGAGAATTTGTAATCTAAAGAGAGTGTTAGCCTTGTTGAATGGTTTTTACGTATCCAAGGTATAGTTCTTAAAATTAATAATTACAGATGTTGTTTGTGAAAATGCAATGTGCCATTCTTTTAAAGTTCTGCTTAGTTTTATTTGGAACAACAATGGTTATCGTCGTTTTCACCATTCTTAACACTCTTTAATCCAATATTTATAAGCAAGATACTTGATAAAGATTTATTGAGACAAACCTTTTTAATAAATCATGAACCTCGTCTCGAATACTGTAGTATTCATTCAAAAAATTTTCCTCAAAAAATATGTCGGCACTCTCTTCATCATCATCAGGGGGTGCAACTGGTGTCTTCATTTCTGTGGTTGTATTAACTGTAAGAGTTGAATTTTTCATTGCTTTTGACGAAGAGTTGATGACTGCTGCTAAAATGAAAACAATCACAAAATGATATTATATTTCAAGATGATAAGCTGGTCGATGGTAGTGTGTTAGTTAAACATGAACCAATGTAGATTGAAGTGAATTCATTAAAAAAAATTTCACAAAGTGATAATATTTTCGAGTTAAGTAAATACTAAATCTTATGCTGCATAATCCAAAAAGCAGGAAAGTGAAAAAAGCATTTGTTTTGCTTGTGATTAACCCAAATTTTAAACAAAACAAAACACAGTCTGTTGTTTATCTCTTTGCTGGGTACATTTTGAAGAAACACACTAACAAAATTGTTGTTAGTTGCCAAAGAAGCCTGTTTAGGGGGTATGTTTTTAAAAAATGTCATACATGAGTTATCTACGATATGCTAAGCAGTTGCATTATTTCATAACCAACAACCCTTAAATATAACTAGTGACTTTGTACCTAGGACTCATGATTTTTAGTAGAAAGGGTTTTTTATGAACGTAGAAGCAGGGCATCAGGGGAGTGCCGCTTGTTCACAGCTACTTTGAATTTAATAAATTCTGATTTTATGATTGGAAACTTTAAACATATGAAATTGATTGATGGCAGAAAGTTAACAAATAAGTACAAATAACATAGACACTTAGGCTAGATATATTATGTCTTGTAAAAATTTGTGTGCAAAGTCGATTTTGTAAAAATTTCCTTTGTTGTCCTACATATACCTCCAGTGCACATTAACCAAGGAGCCTGGATAGCGTTATCCACTGGATAGAAAATTTTTCTGAACTTTCATAAAATCTCTTATAAGTGAAAAATGTACGATTTGAACTGTGCAATCATTGAAATAAAACATTGTTTCCAAGATTACAAAATTTCTTTGTCCTAAGAAAAATATAAACACCTTTTTTACAAGTTTGAAAATTTTTGCTGTCCAACGGACAACGCTATCCAGGCTTTTTGCAACCGGCCCCAGGTAGTTGTAAACTCGCAATAGACATATTTCATCAAAATTCACCATCGTACAATCAAAAAACCAGCTAACCCGACCACGTGCAATTGCAGCCCTAAACAGACACAGTTACCATTCCTCAACAAATAATTCTGAAGTTTGAAAGCAGTAAATTTAGCGAGTTTCGTCAATAACCAAATTGTTTAAACAATCATATACATTCCAAATAAATACGATAGTGGTATCTTAGCTCTGTCAATCATTTTTTTCCAAAAAATTTATCAAGTGAAAAACTTTACATATAGAACAAAAATATGTTCATTCAATTTTTGTCAATATCACTACAATTTCAAAACATAAAAACGTACCTCTATCTCCTTAAAAATTGTGCACTTCTTTATCGAATATGGCAATATGGCGAACAACATTTGAAGTATAAATTGCACTACTTCATCTTAGCAGACTCAAACATGTCCAGTGGACTAGTGCTAATTAGCACGGTATGGGGCAAGTGGAGGGTGCAAGCAAGTTGCGCTGTTAGTAAATAAAAATTATAAAATACACTCTATTACTAAACTATTTTCTTTTAAATAATAAACTCTTTTTATAGAGACTTCAATATTCTGCATAAGTATTGCAGTAAGAAAAACGAAAAGCAGTGCGAACTGATATAGTAGGTGAAAGTGCAAAGCCTGTACAACAGCATGCATTTCTTACGGATCCTAGCGAAGTTAAACGAATGGAGAAGAATTTATTAGATCTTATGGAAAACTTCAATGAAGGAAAATTGCACGCATTTGGTATGGTTATGTTATTGTCAAAATATGCTCAAACTCTTAAGAGATGAATGATTGTCTTCTGAAATGATCTTAGAATTTACATAAATGTCATATAAAATTACTAAGTGATTCAAGAAAGTCTAGTTAGGAGGTTTTCTCACTCGTGTTTGAGAGACTATTTTAGACTGTATACCAACTAAAGTTTCAGCATCAGATCAGATTACTTCTGATGAAGACACTAGACTGAAGTATATAAGAACTAAAGATTTAACATCAGATCGCTCTTGATGAATACACTAGACTGGAGTATAAAAGGACTCAAGTTTCAACATCAGATCACTCCTGATAAAGACACTAGACTGAAGTATGTAAGAATTCTAGTTTCAACATAAGATCACTCCTGATGAAGACACTAGACTGAAGTATGTAAGAACTCAAGTTTAAACATCAGATCACTCCTAATGAAGACACAAGACTAAAGTATGTAAGAACTCAAGTTTCAACATCAGATCACTCCTGATGAAGACACTGGACTGAAGTATGTAAGAACTCAAATTCAAACATCAGATCACTCCTGATGAATACATTAGACTGGAGTATATAAGAACTCAAGTTTCAACATCAGATCACTCCTGATGAAGACCCTAGACTGGAGTATATAAGAACTCAAGTTTCAACATCAGATCACTCCTGATGAAAACAGTTGACTGGAGTATATAAGAACTCTAGTTTCATGAGCAAGAAATTAATAAATGTGTTCAACCATATTACATTGTTTCCAGGTAAGGAACAAACTCTTGACAAAATGGACAAAGTTCGTGAATCACAGGAATCTTTAGCTCAACTACATTTTGAATTGGATGTTGATGAATCACTTCGGTAAGTAGGGGATTTTAAAACACAATTTTTGAAATAGATAGATAGATAGATAGATAGATGATTTATTTTTTAAAACTGGCAGCCATATTGCTGAAATACCTTTAAGATTACATAGAGTACATACATAAATAATATAACTAAATTACATCTTCAATGAGTTATTAGTTATAAAACTGTTTCTAAAACGTTTGGTATTAAAATTAGTATTAAATGAAGATTGAGTCCTAAGTTCCATATTTGAACGTTCTAAACGAGGAGGCGAAAGGTCGTAAATCTGTAAAATAAAAATCATGAATCATGAATTAAAACACTTTTTTCATGTATTCACTATTCATATTGATTTAACTCAAACTGGTTTTAAATATCCATGATTTGAGGTTCACCCTTTGTTTTGGGTTCAAAACATCACTATTTCATAAGCAATAAAATTATACGCAAAATGTAGAATTGCAAGTAAAAAATTTTAATGCAAAATTGCATAGGCTGTAATGTTTGCTAAGTGACTATAAAGTTTGTTCATTAACTGTGTAGAGCTTTCCACTGGCTGTAGAATTTGTTCAATGGTTTTAGAGCTCAGTGGTTGTAGAGTTTGTAAAATTTTGCTCGTGTTTTTAGAAAAGAACACGAAGAAGTGGGAAGAAATCGTAATCTTGAAAAACTCATGAAAGATGTGAGTATTTTAAGGATAGCAACATTAGCAACCGTACTTTTAAAGTATTTCAAGAACAAATGTACGTACATATCAAGTCCTGACAACTTTTTCCAAGTCTTCAGTTTAGTAGAAATCTTTGAAAGAACCGTCTTTAAACAAACGTTAATTGAGGGGGAGGGGGGAGAGTGTTTTCATTTATTCTGTTATGCCAGGCTGATTTCTTATGAAAGTGACATCGTTGTGAAAAGAAATTAGTCAAGCATAATAGGATGTATGTTAACGTTCGATTGACGCCATGCTTGAAAGATATTGAAATGAAAAAAGTTCATCAACGGTACTGCTCGACTGGTTTTCAGTCCTGAATTCTAATCAGTTGCCTTCCATTGCCGGCTCAGATTAGCTGTTAGCATGTAATAATCAATATAAGTACATGGAACGCCACTGTAATAGAAATGCCTATTAAAAAAAATAATGCCAAATTTTACATCCAGACACGCGATGATTTTGGCCTGTTTTTGCTTCATGGATGTGTTTTTCGTTGCGTGGAAAGACTGGTAACGACATCCATCATATTTGTTATTTTATAAAACTACACCCACAATTCCACAATTACTTACTTTTTTCATTTTTGTGAGGAAAATGATACACATGTCATTCCTATTGAGTTTTTTGGTGTATCTGTGTAAAGTGTGAATGTCAGTGGTTTAGCGGGTAGCCAGCCCGCATGTTTAGTCAGGCTATGTAAATATTTCTCTTTACTCACTATAAAAACAATATATTTCTAAAGAAGTAAATAACGACCATGTAAAATTTGCATGCGCAACAAAAAATAATCTTTTCAAAGTGTTTTTTGAATGATTTTTTGAGGTAAGAAATTCTAAATACAGAGACTTGTCAAGGCTAAAATATGTTTTCTTTTTTATTTTCAGCTTGAAAGTTAAGCTTATCGATGTATCCTTTTACGCTGCTTTTAAAGCTTAAAGCTTCACTCAATCTTAGTTTTTCTGCATTTAAAATCACTGGCATAGCCAGCCTGCAAGATTATTATTCTACTCATTTCAGAATATCATTATTCAAGTCCCTGCAATCAGTGCTGGTGATGCATCAATTTCTTTAAGCGCACATGTATGCGCATGCCTTGAAACAAGTTTTGATTTCACCCCCGTTGAATTATACACTAAATATACTAAACAGATACTTCTGAGGGGGGGGGGTGTAACCGTGATTTGTGGGTAGCGCCAGTCCTTTTAAAAACTATTCAAAAATTATCACTGTAAGTTTTTAAAACCTCTTATTTTTGGAGAGGGGGGGAGAGGGTGAGGAGGGTTGAAAAATTTTAATGTATACTTGGCTTTGACCGATCATGAGACAAAGTGTGGGAGTAAGCGTTCCAGATGTATTTTAGTTCAATGGGTTACCGGAGATAACGTTTTAAGCAAGCGTTTAGTTTTATTATCTTCCGTTCTATTTTATCCATGACTAGTTATTGTCAGACAAAATCTTCATCAAAACGATCAAAGCTAAGTTATGAATTGCTTTTTTTGTCCTTATAGTCCTTAGAAGAAGCTTACTGCGAGTTTTAGACATAAAACGTTAAAATTGTGTATATTGGAAAATGAACATCGATGATCGAAACCTGAGGACAGTGGCTCCAATAAATTTATTGTCAAAATTCATAGATGGCAAAGAAAACTTGACTTGTAGTCCCTTTAAGTAATACTTCAAATTAACTGATAATTAACTAATTTTTGACAACATTTATTAATAAAATTAAGTTTTTTAACTGTATCTGCCATTCGTCTGTGTGAAATGCAAACTGTCAGATTAGCCGTTTCAGATAGTTTGATATGTGCTTTTTCATATGACACATGACATAGCCTTGTATTTAGTCATTTAATTTGATCATTGTCAAATTCTATGGACGGAAACAATGGATTCTCTAAGGATTTCTTGAATGTTTTGAAATTAAAGTTCAAGTACCAAAAGAAAAATGGCAAGAAGGTTGTGTGTTTCGATGCTTTATGAAATGTCATAAAATGGGATGGTCATAAAATTTGTGTTTATGTAAATATTGGTATTGAGATTGATGATAACGCAATGCAGATGTGAAGCTTCAAACTGTATAAGCCATTAGGTTTTATATTACTGAAAAAAGGTTAAATCATGTCATATCTTTATCAAAATGTTTTAGTAGATTGTTGACTAGCTGTTATGAATTTTAGGTTTTTACCTTAATTTTCATCAAAAAATTGCATGCCAAATGCCAAATATTACACATATTTTTTGCTTGCTCCTTTCCTAAGGGGGCAGTGGAAAATTGTGAAATTTTTGGAAAAGCAGTCATTTTCGTTAAATCTCAGCGGAAGAGGACGAAATCCGCCATATTTTTTACAACATCCGATATCTAAATCCGCGCTTGAGATAGCTGCTCCAAATATAAAAGAGCTCAATGGTCACCACTAATTCTGACAATACAGGGACTGTCTAAAGTAAAACCAATATCTTTAACTGATGGAACGGGATTGACTTTAATACCAAGTTATAGAAGATGTGTAAATTATTGGGTAAAAAGGTCAACAACAATGGATGCATATCTAATGAATAACTTTTTTTTAGTTTTTGAGATGGCTATACGGCGTCCAGCTTTTATTTCTTTGAAAAATAAGGAGAGGAACTGTTTCGAATCATCAGAAAAGATTCCAAAGAGCTCAGTAGGGTTTAAGTGAGTGTAATGACCCACTGTGAAAACAAATATAAAATTAACAGGTATTTATTCTCATTTCATATATATTTATTAAACAAAAATAATTTCTCAACACAAAAACTGTTACTAACACTATAGTATAGTTAACTATATTATATAGTATACAAAATTTACATGACTATGGCTATACTAACATATTGGATATTAGCAACATGATTTATACTGTTTATGTTTATTTTTGAATATGACTGCCAGAAATCTTTAACAATCTGTCCAAATATGACAGCTCCGAAAATATGGGTAAAATGGTCTATACTAACAGTAATCAAGTCTGTAGAGGACTTTGCATTAAGGATTGACTTCAAGTTGATTATGAACCAATTTCTAATTTAAACTCATCACTTATAAATCATTATTAATTTTCCAGCATCATTCTAGTATCGGACAAAGCCAGCCAAATTAGCGCTCATCTGACATAGTTGTTATCTTAATTCATGTTTTTAAATATAAAATTTATGCGAACAACTTACATTCTTAACTTCAAAATCTGTTTATATTAGATGTTAGTACTTTGTTTTCCACGCAATTTTGAATAAACATTCATTTGAATATTGACTATTATGTACTTCGTGTATTATTTATGCTTATGTAAGATCATTCTGACACAATTTTTACGAGTCAATAGTTCATTTATGCTGAGGTCTTATGAAATTTTTAATTAATCTATCACACAGCTTATTACATTTCTTCGAAGTAATTTCAATAATAATGTGTTACATTTCATAACTAAAAGCCATCCTTTGTGGTTAGAAATAGATTCATTCTAACAGTATATCACGATCAATGTTCACTACGGGGGAAAGTGTACTGGGGTAAATGTCCCAGTAGTTATATAGTTCTATAGTTCAAAATGGCCTGAAAGAACCAGAACTTTGTATACCAGAGTTTGTTTACTCCTAATTATTTGCTTTTTTTTACGATTTTACTGGCAGTTTTATGAAAACTTCCCTTGTCGAATACCCTTTGCACTTTTACATAATGACTAATTTTACATAAACATCGACAATACAATACTTAATCAAACATACAACACAAAGTAGCTAACGAAAAAATCTAGGCTAAAACGTTCATTCTCAATTCTCAATGGTGATTTGTGAAAGAGCGCAATTTTTGACAAAACTTCCAGGAGCTTGCACTTGCTTATTTTTTTTATAAATGCATCAAGCAACATAAAATTCCAAATACTAAAAACGCTATTATCTTTAAATATTTCAAAACTGTAACTTTGTCTGATTTATAATTTAGAGTTTCATGTTTGTAAATGATTATCGTCCAGGTTAATAAAGTCCTGAGAAGGACTGTTTTTGTTGTTGTTGACTGGCGTTTCGACAACCTTAGCGGTAGTCATCTTCAGAGTCAAATGAGGAGTAAACGCCAGGTTAGCCGTATTTGTTATCTGGTTCTTACGTCACTGTATTGTGTGTACAGGAAATGTGTATTGTCATTGTGAATTAGTGTGAAGTTAAATATTTTATTTTTAGTTGTGATGTGTGATTTAGGTGAATTGTTTTTAGTTGTAATGTGTGGGTGTCAGTTGTGTATTGTCATTGTGAATTAGTGTGAAGTGTAATGTTTTTAGTTGATCGTTTGTTTGTATTGTGAATAAGTCGTTTGTAAGGTGCCGGTAATTGCTGTGATCTGTTCAGGTGGGTTTGTTCCAAGTTGGTATACCAACTTTTTAATGTTAGCCGTTGTCTATAGTCAGTACTGTAAGTAATGCATTTTGCCGAGTCCCAGTCAATGTTGTGCTTTGTGATTCGGTGATGTTCGGCGATGTGAATAGTTTTGTCTTGTTTCTTAGCAGCTCGTTTGTTTTGAGTAAGTCTTATGTTTAAGTTCCTGGCAGTTTCCCTGATATAGGAGGCGTGGCAGTCGGAGCAGTTGAACCCAAAGAAACGAACAACTCAGTGGACAACAGCAACGATACCTTACATCAAAGGTACGTCTGAGACTATCTTGCGTATCTTACGACCATACAACATACGTGTCGCACATAAACCAATCACAACGTTACGACAAGTACTAGCAAACATAAAGGACAAAGAAAAACCCAACGAACGACAAGGTGCAATTTACAAAATAAACTGCTCCGACTGCCACGCCTCCCATATCGGGGAAACTGCCAGGAACTTAAACATAAAACTTACTGAACACAAACGAGCTACTAAGAAAAAAGTCAAAACTAATCACATTGCCAAACATCACAAAATCACAAAGCACAACATTGACTGGGACTCGGCAAAATGCATTACTTACAGCACTGACTATAGACAACGGCTTACATTAAAAAGTTGGTATACCAACTTGGAACAAACCCCCCTGAACAGATCACAGCAATTACCGGCACCTTACAAACGACTTATTCACAATACAAACAAACGATCAACTAAAAACATTACACTTTACACTAATTCACAATGACAATACACATTTCCTGTACACACAATACAATGACGTAAGAACCAGATAACAAAAACGGCTTACCTGACGTTTACTCCTCATTTGACTCGGAAGATGACTACCGCTAAGATGACTCGTGCATATAAAGATCTAAAATGTATAAGTGATACATTTTCCACTTACAAAAACCGCAATTCTGGTAAAAACTTTACAGGCATTGCTCCAAGAGGAGATGTAATTTGATATTTGTTTCAGAACTATTTAGTGTACAAAGAAGCCTTTAGAAACCATCCTGTTGTTAAAATTTCAATTCTTGATCACTTAGCTAATTCTACAGTTACATTATTTCTTATATTTTGGTTTTAGAGGTCAAATTCCAAGGCAAACAAAGCTTATAACAAAGATATGTAATAAATGCATTTAGATGACGAAGTTTTATCCTGTCCTGGGCAAAGGTTAGTGACAGAGCATTGAAATTATAAAGATAGATAAAGTTCTTCGTTTTTATTAGTCCTGTATATTTGCCTAGTACATTTGACAAACGGACAAATGACTGTGGTTTCAGTCTTAAATAAGAATTTCTCACAACAAAAAAGAGGGTTTCCGTTGTAAAATTGGGTAGAGGTAAAACGCGGAAACAGAATAGCGGAATTGCGGAATCGGAATGGCGGAATCGGAATAGAAGGTAAAATGCGGAATAGAGAGTAATAAATGCTGTACATGGTAAATAATTATAAATATACATAAGTATAGATTTTAAGTATGACTTGCACTTTATTCGAAAGTTGCTTTTCCCCAGCAACAAAGTGTTTTATTTTTAAAGTATTGGATCTGAATTTTACAACAGGAAAATCTCTTTGATCTAGTCTTCGTTACATCCGAGTAGATGTAATTAACGTTGAATGTAGTATTTATTTTTTCGACGTATACTAATAAACACATTACAGCATTCTCACAACGCTAGGGGCAGATTTTTGCGTTTACAACGGAGAAATGCATGTTCTAACCTGTTGTCTCAAAGAACATATTCAGGCTTGCATAATTATATACACACAAAGACTTTCGCGGTGAACTTAGCATCAACTTTATTATAATAACAAATTTGGTTTGATAATAAACAATAAAGTGTTTAATGGAAGTGCGATGTTTTCAATGGTAAGAAAAGAGAGATCCAACTTGTGAATAAGTGTGTTTTATTTACATGAAAAATTGGCAAAAACTTATTTTTTAAAACAGTTGATAAAGTGAATGAAATGTCGTCCATTTAAATAAATTAACACACTTACGTAACTTGTACTGGTTAAAATAATATACAACCGGTTTTGATATTTGTTGTTACATTTTCCAGTATCTTCTTCAAAAGAATATACATTCCAAGTATTTTGTGTCCTGCAAACAATGTTTCATTTTTTGAAGAAAAATACTTAACACATTGCAAGTATCTGAAAATAATTAATTGTATTTCCTGCTCATATATTTGATTGGTATATTGTGTGAGTATTTGCTGTAATTTGAGATCATGTAAAGTCGCACAAAAAATATTTGTAAATTGTAAAAGACTGGAAAGCGAAATTTGCTCATTTTATTTTTTTTTTGCTCAAGCGAAATTTCATATATTATTTGC